TATCTTTGTCTTCCCAGTTATATTTAAGTTTCCTTCTGTCACAGGGGGTCTGCAACTCCACTTGCCAACTCCCTCTGTCCTGCATCATTTAGGTGGCATCCCTGCACCAAACAAGCTAAATCAAATGAGTGTTAACAAGGAGGATTTCTTTTTTTTTTATTTGCTGACCTAAGGAGGTAATTAAGAATTTTGATCCAGATGTTTTGATGCAGGGAACCAGGCAAAAGTTGAGGGAAAGTGGCACTAAGGGACTGGACTTCAAGATACCCGCTCTTGCTGAAGAAACATTTTGATCGATTTGAGGCATTACTTTAAATCATGCTGCCTTCATATGGTATCGTAATTATAGTAAATACCAAAAACTGACATTAAAACTGCATATTAACATGCTCTCATGCAAAGTTAAGTTACCATGATAAGGTAAACTTTGACCTTTCAGCATGGGGGCAGAGAAACGTTTCTGTACGATGAGTACCGAATTGTTTAACATTTTCTCTCCTTGTGTTTGTAGCCTACACATTGCTATGACTTATATTTTATGTTGATAAAATATCACCATTTAAGCTGATAGGGGTAATTTATGTTATTTTTTCATTTCCATTTTACAAGTGGCAAGGCTGGTCTTTACCATACCACATGAAGGCAGTGTTTGTTTTAATTTTGAATTGCTTTGGGCTTAATTATCATTAAAAAATTTAGTTATTTTACCATTAAGCATAAAAACTCAAAACTTTATCATCACAGGTTTCACATAAAAAACTAATAGCTACAATTTAAAATGCAAAAAGGTGTGGTAAATGTTAAAAAATAAAGTACTTTACTGAAATACACCAACAATGCATTTTAAATTGTGCAAACCCTATAAAGAACCGGAATACTCATTCATGATTAGTTTGTTTTCTTATAATTTAGACACATTTCAAACGATTGCAAAAAATAATGTTCCGTTTTATTTATTTTTTTTTGGTAGGAAACAATATTTGCCTTCTGCTTGTTTACCCCAGAGTCTTGTATTTCACATTGCTGCTCAGTTATTGCTGTGTGCAAAAAAAAAAATGTCATAGATAAGCAAGTAGATATCCTATTGCTAAAAATACATGTGACTGACTATTTCTGAGGTCGGACTGTAATATCATCTTACATGGCACATCGATTGTGGCTGAGGATGATGTGCTCATGCAGGTATTCTCGGTTTCAGTGAAGCTCATTGATGCTATTTTAGAAGGATTATTTGAGAATGGGGTGACTTTACTTTCATGCTTCATTTATTACTCTGCACTCTGATTCCTTTTTTTTTTTTTAGGAAGACATCCCATGAAAATGAAACCATCAGGGTAATCTTACCTGCCTGACTCAAGCACACTAGCTGAAAGGAAGGACAAAGACATCATTGCTTGAGATGCAGAAAAATAAAACAGTCACTGGGGAAATTATTGATGCTTTTATTGTGGTCAGTTCATTGATGGGTTTTATTTACTCAGTTTTTATTCATTTTATATGAAATGGCCTTAATTTGTATTTAATAGTTTTAAACCAAAAACCATTACCTGATAAAAACGAATTGGTTTACATCCATTAATACGAAATACAGACAATACTGACACCTAGTGGTTGATTTAAATTGATAAAAAATTGTTTGTTTTTTTTTGTTTTGTTTTTTTTAAATGCTGTTGCAAGCACATAAAGATAGAAACTGCATTATTGTAGTAAGTATAATAGAAATATGTTGCTCTGACTTAGTGCCTCATATATTTGTTTGGTTTATTGTCTTACACTTTTATTTTTTTCTAATGAAATGCCATTTCTCTTTGAAATCGATTGAAATTCTATATATGTTATCATATATTACTTTATTCCCAAGTTCTTATCTCCAGATTTATATTTTAACAAAATGTTAGCTTTCACTCCCCAAACCTGAAACTATCTTGCCCTCTGCTGGACCAGTAATGCTGTTGCACAAAAATATGCCATGCTTTTTAAGAGATGAAGTGTTTCTTTGTTAGCTTTGACTTTAAAGTTTATTAAAAACGGGACACAACTCCATCTAGATTAACATAATCCTTTTTGAAATGTATAGATCCTTTGATTTAGATGCTTTGGATACATATAACTCCCAAAACACGAAGCTAACACATAGATATGAGTATCTGCATTGAACTGCATGCCAACAAAAGGAAAAATATACCGGTATATACATTTGTAAACATGTACCCATGCATAACATGGGGAATATATCTCTGATTTAAGTTTCATGAAAATATTTTACTTATTTAAAAATGTATATCCGGTCTTAAAATTTCTACAATTAGAGGGACTCGTGAATCAATTTTCAGAGTATTCTTCTTTCGATTTTGTTAGATATTTTTCTATGTTCTCTTTATTTTTGAACAAAGATCCCTGTTTTTCTAATAACAAATTTTATAGAGTTTGTTTTTTTTTTTCCAATTTCCTTTTCTTAGTTTCTTAGTGTTTGTCTGCAATGGATACCCTGATCTTCTGCAATATTTTCTCCTGTAGGTTAAGAAGGAGCTGTGATGAGTTTTTCAACACCCCCCCCCAAAAAAAAAAATATAGGCAATACATTTCTGTATACTTTTGTAAAAAGAGACTTTTAACAAAACCATTTCAGTTTAAGCAAGATGTAGATTGAGAAAACACAGGATATGAATAAAATGTGTAATGTTTTAACTAGATCTCTTAAGTCTTTAATCTCGTCTGTAATACTTTTGTTAGTTACTCTTTTCCTCAACATTTTATTGCCTGAGAAACATACAAGTAATTCTCAACATGTGCATGAAAATGGTTCTAAATACTACATAGATTACCTCTTTGTCTATTAATACCAAGAGGAAGAAGGATACTGCAAGTGATGAAGCTGATCGTGAAAAGGGTTTGATTAACCAAATACAGCTTAAAAAAAGGGAGATCCTTACCTAAACCTCCTTGGAGTCAAGCACCATTGCAATAAGCTAATGAGCCTGGTGTTGTCCCACTTTTACCCATTTGATTAAAAGGTTAAAAAAAAAATCCCAACAAAAACCACTCAACGGTCTTATAGACAACACAAAATGGGTCTGATTCCATATGGGGTTTTAAAAGAAATACCACAGGGGTTGCCTAAATCTGGTCCATGTTGTGCAATTATGGTGCCATAACACCACAACATGCTCCAGGGAAGACCGTCAGCTAAAAGTTCTAATCCAAGTATTTAAAAAAAAAAAAAAACCTTCTGGAATTTATTACCTAAATTTTCCTCAAACATCAGGGTTTCCACATTCTATTTCTCAATTAACCCTTAAATATTTCACATATAAACCTGTAACAGCTAGACTAAATAAAAAAATGTACTAACCATCTTGCCTCTTCATTAAATATTGCTTTTGCATTTCTGCTTCCATTTGTTTTTTTTTTAACCAACAATGACACTTAAGTTGAATGTTTGAGTTCTTCATATGCATTAGTTCTGTTTTTAAATAAGAAAATGTAGTTTACTTATTTTTAACAGATTTCAAACCTTTGTGTTGTCTTTTCAGTGTGTATTTATTTACCAGGCATGCCCAAAAGAGGGCTGCTGTCCTGCAGGTTTTAGAGGTTTCCCTGCTCCAGCACAGCTGATTTCAATTCATAACTGATTAACAGGCTTTGCCGAACTGCAATCACCAGAATCAGCTGCTAAGCTGAAGCTGAGAGAGCTCTAAAACATTCAGGACTGACTATGGGCATGTCTGAGTTAGTCTTTTAGAGGTTTGGCCAAACAAGGCAGCAGTAAAAGCTCAGAACAGCATAATATTTGAAAGGTTATTGGACTGAACCACCTGTTCCTTCTCAAGAGCAGAAATATACTCCTTGTGTTTTGCTAATCATTTACATATTAAGTATCCCATTTCCTTCATTGCCATTTTGTTTAAGAAATTCCAGTGTGTTTTGCATTTCTAGATAAATTGCATTCATTATCCATATGGTGTTGAAGTCCTCTAATTAGCCTTTTCATATACCTTTACAACATCCCTTTCATTGGTCAGTTATATGTTGTTTGCTTAGTGTGTTTGCCCCAAGCTCCCATTTTCCCCCAGTTAAAAGCTTTCCTTTTTTATATATAATTTTTGGTAAAGAAATATATACACATTTTTTTATTCTTTTGACTCTTTATTTTTAATTTAATCCATCAATAGATCCCTTAAATGTCAAGCAAGGAAAGTTCTTTAGTAAGTTATTCATAGCAGTCTATCCATGTCACATATTTCCTTGAGGGTTTGCACTTTGCTACTGATTACCTTGAACTCGGTGCAGTTTCTTGTTGCAACTATAAAGGAGATTAAACATTTGCTTGAATGGCTCTCTTTAAACTAAATAAATACTGCTTTACCTAGAAGATTCCTTTAAAAAAGGTAACATAGGAACCTCAATGGAGTTTTCTAATTAGAAATATATCTCAAGTTCTTTTTTTTGTTACTATTGGGGCTCAGAAATGTACAATCATCTTTCAAAAATCAAAAAGCATTAATTCAAAAATCTGTAAAAAAGATCCTTAAAGGAAAAAGGGAAACTGACAAAAGGTTTAACATTTTATTAATCTAAATGTAAATTTCAGTATGATAAATCTAAAAAATTTTGGAGGCACCCATAAACTAAATGTTTGCACAATCATTACATAGACCAATCATAACTTCCAAATGTCAGACAAGAATATAGGTTAACTTCATAGTGTTTGCTAATCCTCATGCAAATTGGAAATATGAAACCAGTAGACTGCAGTTTAAACATGGAACAACTGGTGCTGATATTACAAATCATATGCGTTATTGTCAAAGACTAAAAATTGCCCTTGTGGAAACTAATTGTCAGACAATTTAAAGAACCAGAGAAATTCATGTCCACTCTTACTAACAGAACCATTTAGGCTCAGGCTGTGCAGCTTGTTGTCAGTGTTTAACTGCTGCAGAGAGCAATTGGATTTTAAACTTACCGGTATGTTTTTTTTCTTTTTTTTTTTTTTTTTGACAAGTAATTTCTGTTACTGCGATTTTAGACCCACAGATAAAACATAAAATAAACAATAGCTTTGTTCTGGCAGAAAAGCTTATTACATTACCATGTGCAAAATGAATCAATAAAGCTACTTAAACATTAGTTAAAGCGGACTCCAATGAAAGTTTGCCTACAGGTGGATATGTACAGAGGTGACTTTAATTAGAGGAGCGTACTATCCTATCTTTGAGAGGCTGGGGAGGCCTGAAGTTGTTCTCCATGCGCGTCCTCTGATTTTCCTCTTCACTATTGAACTGAAGCATTCGGAACATCCCCAGCTGTACATGAAGACAGAAGGACAAACAAATGACATGTACTTCTACTCTACAGGTTTTGAGCTAAATAGTTAGGTTGCTATAGTAACATGTTAAATGTTAAAGCTTACATCCTGTACATCTTTGTCAATCAATCTACAAAGACCAAGACAATTTGCAGTTTTAAGCAATAAGAACTTCAAATAAAAATTCACCCACAATAAAAACCTCAGTTGATATAACTTTAAAATAAAGATGAAAATTGGTGTTAAATTGCATGTTTATTTATTTAAAGGATGTAATTGAACATGTTATTTTATTGATTCAGAGTTATAGGCGATTTGAAGTTATTTAAAATGTTGTAGATCAGTTTTACCATGTTTCAGAGATTTATGAAAATAAGTGACTGCTTTCACACACTTGTGAATTGGGATGAGATCAAATTCCTAATTGATGTTTAAATGAGATCCTGAAAAGATTTCCTAGTGTGAAAATGATATTACGCTGTAAGGAGAGCAACAAACTTTTAATTTGTAGCAGTAAATATTACCACACCAGATGTTAGAAAGAGAGGAAAAAAAAAAAAAGTGTAAATGGTTGCTACAACACTTTCTCTTAAAACTATATAGCTCATTGCCCCTTCCCTCCTCCTGCATTAATCAGATTTCCTTATTGGACTTGTGTTTAGGGCTGCATATGTCTTGCATGTGAATGAAGACATTACAATATGATATTTTGGTTCAATGTTCAGCAGCAACAAATAATCTCAGTTGCGATAATGTAAGGGCTTGATTTTCCACTTCTCACATTAAGAGAAATGCACAAGTCCAACATTTTTAATTAATATCCAAATCCTTATTATTTACTTTTCTTATTTTGATGAAGGAAAACATATACAGAACTTAAAGGTATGCCAACATCCAGTGGTTTTAATTAAGCTGTTGGAAATGTTTTTTGGTGATTATTTTTAAAAAGCTGCAGCACTTACTTGCTTATCTGAGACAACAATTGGCTCCTTCAGGACAATCCAGATGACGCTCTCATGCAAGGGAGGAGTGGTCAATGACCCCAGGTAAGTCCAGTAGTGGAGGCTGCTGGGTAGGAGGCACTTGGGGTTAAAACCTTTGAAATCTATGGCACTTCCCTGTGGAAAAAAAAAAATAAAGTTTTAAGGGTAGACAACAACAACTTTCACAACAATCTTTTACAATGCACTGATGACAGAGTATTAAATAAATATAACTCACCTTAAATTTAACCATGTACAGAGCATCTGTAATCATGGGGAGCCATCTGTGGTCGTCACCTAGCTAACAGAAAAGACAGGTTCACAAATTTAGAGAAATTATTGTTTACTTAATTTGCTAAAAACCAAACTGACATACACTGTAAATTTAGCTGATTATGTTTTAATAAAATATATCCTTTTGATACAGTTTTAATCTCATTCACACTGTATAATGGGATTGCAACTGTCATGCCACACATCCCAAAGATTGTCCGTGGGATCAAGGGTTAAAGTCTGAAAGTAAAAGTGATGTCTCAAAGCTTTGCAAATAAAATCACGTGAATTACATTTTGATCTGAGGACATGTCATTTAACAAGTCATGAACATTAGATAATGGTAAATTATTCATAAGGCATTAAATTAGTTTCCCTATTTGCCACTCTAGCCTGCAAGCTGCAAAAGCCATTAGGTTGGCTTTTTCAAATAATACAATAACTAAAAGTACAAAGTTACTTTATATTGCAAAAACCTAAAGCCAACACACAAAAGAATGTGTGTTTATAAAATTTACAAAACGCACATGTTACCTTCAAAAACAACTGCTCATATAGACAGTACAACTGTGTGTTTAATAAATGTTGTACCTCCAAAAAGATGCCAAGAACAGCAAGACCATCTGGAGCAGTTGATGCTTCTTCAAATGTCTTGTACTTGTAGCCATTCCAGTGAACTAAATGCAGCTAAAGAAAGAAACATGAAGAAAACAAATGTGAAATAAAACCATCTTTTGACAGCTAAATGGATATGGGCCTTCACTACATCATCTATTGAAATATATATTTTTCTTTTCTTTTTTTTTCCAAAAAAAGTCATGCATACACAGGATTTAATTGGAACTAAATATTTTCAAATATTTTTCACCTTTAAAACTATACAAGTGAGCTGGTGTTACCTTATGATATAAGCCACCAAAAAAACTGAACACTGACCTCTGATGCATATCCAACTCCTGCTACAGTGTGCTCGGATCCTTCGCAACCTTTTCCACCCCAGTGGAAATGAAACTGCTTCAGTCTATAAGGGTGCTCAAGAGGGCCTCCTTGAATCACTGTAGGCAGCAAGAAGAAAGATAGAAACATAAATTGAAAATCGCCATCCAAATACTGTACCTTCACACTCCTACTCTTCGTAGAGTAAAAGAAACGCCTCCGGTACTACAGTAGCTATCGTCAAAAACCTCTTGGCGCCTTCTATTACACACAGCCGGATGAGTCAGAGTGGTAACACGCATTAAACTTCACCAAATTTTTCAAAAATAACCAATAGAGAAGCAGATAAAAAGGCCTCTAGAACCAGAGATTGCAGCAATCAGAGGACTAAAAGAAAACGGAAAAAAATCATACTTGGAACATATGTTCCAAAACTTGACAAGAAGAACATTGTTATCCATATCATTTCACCCTTAAAGCAGTGCATTTTTCCTCCCAGAAAATCAGAAGTAAGCCTACCAACCAAACATTTGATAATACAAGCAGGGCATGAGTCCATCCTCACCTACCAAAGACAAGATAGTTGTAAACCATAGCTGTGGTGTAATATGAGAGCATGCCATTAGATGTAATTGAAATGAGACCCGTTTCTTTTTGTTGTTTTTTTGTTTTTCACAATATTGTCTCACAATATTTCATGAGAGTTGTTTACTTCGACCTAGGACATTGTCTTTCAATACCTACGTGTTGCTGGCCTGCTTATTTTTGTCATCCATGTCCAACTATCTTGAGTTTAGTATTTCTATAAAAGTTAGATCCTCAGTCATAAAGACTTTTTTTATTCCACCTCACTGGTGCAGATTTGCTAGGTCTGTAATCTGTGGCATTCTAATTACTTCCTTGTTCAGACTGTTGCCAAATAATTATTTGTTCTGTGAGTATTAATGAAAAAGGTTGAAAACATACTTCAAAGCCAATTAAATGCTGAGACCTTCTCCAAATCCCTTAGGAAAAGAAAAATTATTTGTTTTTGTTTTTAACATATTGATAATTATTGCAACTATTAACAGGCAATCAGAGCAGGTGGTGGTTAAATCTCATTTTCCGACAAATGTTTACTTTACTTCTATGAGGCTGTGGATGTATCATAAAATTGCCACATGACAATACAGTGAGTCTAAGAGGAACTCGTATTTTACCAACTATTCTGTACAAAAAAGAAAAAAAAATACTATGACTGACCAAATGACAGAAATCAACAAGAAGAATCTAAACACAAATTGGTTTCCTTGTATGATTTTTTTTTTTCTTTTTCCAATTTGCTTGTGATGTGACATTGGCAGATCCCTTATACACACATTATAAACCAGAACTACTTCTGTTCCACTTTTACAGGAACAGTTTGAATACTCCAGTTAATTTTTCAGAGACAACATAGAGGATAAAATCATTTATAAAAATTGAAGCCATTACATACAAGAATCAAGTGGACAAAATCTGAAAAAATAAAGATTAATTGAAAAGCTTGTTTGAAACTATTCAAAGCTGTTTAAAAGCTTCAACGAACCTCAACATTCATGTGAATATAAAGCTGAGTGTCAAAAAATTTCAAATGCAAAAAAATGCCGTTTTTGCTTTCAGGATTTAATCTAAGCTTTAAAGAAAAATGCATTTTTTATGTCTTTTTTGGCTATATTTATTGCTTGGATCGATAAAGAAGGATCGATTGCAGCACTCTACTGGATAGTATCTACCATAGATATGTCCTGGCCCTAGATAAGGCTATCAATGGTTAGAAAAGACTATAAACTGAACTATTTTGTGTGAAAGGCTCAAATGTATTCCATTTATTCTTAGACTTGTATAATTTTACTCCTGCAATCCATCTTTGTCATTATCTTTTCGCCAAACAGGTCATTTTCCCAATCATAAGTCACTTTACAAAACAACCTGCATGCAATTGAACTTCAGAGGATTTGTGCAGCTAATTCTAATGTTGTGTTTCCTCACAGGTATTTTCTTTAACCTGTTATTTCCCTAGATATTTGCTCATTTAGTAGAAAGTCTGTTAAAAAAATGTCCTTGCTTTTCCACTTAAGATGATTGCAGGTTGGCCATCACACATCCACCCAGTCATAAAAACAAGCATTGTCATAATAACCACTGAGATCTGACAGGTTATTATATCTTTTGTCCAGCAGACGGAACTTGAGAAAATAAAGTGCCAGCTGCACTTTCCTGCCTCATAATCAGAGTTTTTTTTTTAGCCTTTTATTATAGTAAGCTGGTCAACTGGTTTACACTTTCCTAAATATAGTGTCCTTTTTTCCCCCTTTACTGCACATTTTCCTCAACAGATAACAGAGTAACATTATCTCTGAACTGTGACCACCATTAAAATCAGCAAGGCTTGCAATCTTCTGTCCTTGCAAAGCACATAATCTAAAGTGGAAGCTGTGTCAACAGATAAGATTCTTACCTGAGCGATCATCAGAGTCATCAAACTCCACAACCACAGAGTGTCCATTGTTGGCAATGTTAAGGGATGTGCACCTGTCATACCCCAGGAAAATAGGACGCAGGCTGCTGTCACGTCTGGCCTCATCAGGAATGATGTCAATGGGGGACTGGCGGCTTCCTTTGGCAGCTGGGTAGTGTGTATGCCATGCTGAAGGACCTGTAGATGACAGGAGGGGAATAAAGCTGGATTTTCACAATAAAATTACTCTTTGCATTTAAATCTGTACACAAAAAAACCCCACACAAAACACAAATAACAACATGCATTGATCGTGAAAAATAGTAGTTATTTCAAAGCCACTTATTTCCTTTTCCTTTACTACATACAAGGTAAAACCTCAAAATCTATCCAAGAAATATGAAGGAATCTGACAGATCAGTAATTTCCACAAGCTAAGGTGACAGCAGTCAACCGTTAAACGTTAATCCCGCATTAACAGACATCTTTAACAGGAGAAAACAAGGGAAAACTAAGCAACATGCGCTTCAGAAAAACTGAAAAACTGCGTCTGATTGATCAAACATTTTACCGTCGTCTTTCCCGTATCCCCAGCTGTGCCCTGTCATTGTCCTGTTTGCAGCTCTAATGAATGGCCCTGAGATCAGCTGGAGCAGGTATTGATTAGGTCTATTAAGGGGGACGGACAATTACCATGGTGACACGCCCCCCTTCACGCCCACAGACACATGTCAATCAGTAACCTCTCCGTATGGACTGGAACCGCCTGCTGCTTTATTTTTCCCTGCTTGTTGATGTTATACTTATTTTATTGAAAGAGTAGGTAACAACAAAAATTTAAAGTTTTCTGATTTGCACGACATCTTCCTGGGAGAAAATTAAGGACAATTAAAGTTAAAACGCAGATAAAAACAAATGAGAAAAAAATGGCTGAGGAAATATAAATAGATACAGATTTTTGCTGAATAAAAATAGAATTAAGAAACTTTGCTCACTGATTTTCTTTTTGATCATTTAGAGTATGATAGTAAGTAGTTTCAACTTTGTGATTATTTTGAATGGATTACTGTTCCTGATTGTTTTATAGCAGGGAAGAGGATTAGGGCCACTGAAAACATAATAAAAAGTTAACTGATTTTTTAATTTTATTTCAGTCACTTTCTGAAGGACTGGTGTTGACATGTCCCCACCAACTTTGGGCATGGTGGGGACAGTCTCCAGTCTCTTTCCGCTTTTTTCCCCCTTTCCAACAGTAACTGGGTGCAGCTGTCTGTGTTCAGATTGTTTTCAGTCCGTGTTTTTTCCTCGCTCTCCCGCTGCTCTTCAGTCCCATCTCTCGGTGAAACATCATCGGATCTGTAGCTTTGGGACATATTATCATTTGGGGTCGCTATTTATTGCGTAGAGAGTTATGAGGAGGAGAAGAGATACCGAATATGGCAAGCCATATTAAGATACAGTCGCTTTCGTCTGACCCTGTATGGCAAGCCTTTTTAACATAAATTCGCAGCAGCACTCAGTGAATATTAACCAGCAGCTACTTCGATATATGTTCAAGTAAAGGTTTGGAGACTGGTTGGTTAAAAAAAAACAGAGATGCCACCAAAAATCCGTCAGTTACACATACAGACCTTTTTCAGCTAAAAATGGCAACAGATTGTACATTTATATGAGTTAAAAAAGCTGGGCTTCTAAGGACCATACTCATTACAGATTAAAATGAACACATCTCTCTTGTTTTCTTATTGAACAGAGAATCAGGCTGCAGAACTTCTAGAGATCCTGGAAATAATTTTCTCAGGTATCATTATATTGCTAGACAGGTTCATAAATCTGTTTTTAAGCAGAGCAGAGACACAATTAGGGACAGCTGCTGATTTAAAGGTGAATCAGATTTACTGAGATATGCAACATGCAATAAAATATATCTCCAAGTTTACAAGAAACAATATGCAATGCTATAATAAAATTCAACATAAAATTTTGTCTTTTGTAGTTCAACGAGACTCAGAAATAGCTGCAACCCAAAGACAGCCAGACTCACAGGACACAGACTTAAAATTAAAGTATAAGAAACCTACAAGAATTAAAGCACAAATCATACAAATCAGTGTATAAATGATTTTTGAAATATAAGGTTCAATATACAGACATTGGCTGTCAATGACAAAAATTTCTAAATTAGATTTTGCTGCTTGTGAAGGAGAATAATCACTTATGCAGCTTAAAATGAAGCCATACATACAAGGGAAGTTATGTCCAAACTAGGGATGCAGGATATATTGATGTTGGCACTGGTATCGGCTGTTATTCATAATTCTTTATACATTGTTTTTGAGCCCTTTATAAAAATAACGCACTAATGGCAGGCATCTGTCTATAACTATAAATACCACAAATGTATTGTGGTTCTCTTGTGTTCTCAACAATAGTAAAGCATTCAAGAAATATATGTTTGAGCTCATTTTTGGAAAATATAAACCCTATTGAAAGCGTTTGGGTTGAGTAGCTGTAGGTCCATCAGCATCCACCCTTAGAGCATCCCCACCAACTTTTATCGTTAGACATTTGAATACTCTTAGGGGGAACCATTTGCATTTTACTCATCATGGTTTCTACCTGGACCTAGGTATGTTCAACAACAGTTTCAAAATGTTTAAAACGTTTATGGCCCATATCAGTTACATTTCACATGTGTTGTATAACATCAGAGGTTTCAGATTGATAATGGGACCATTATGCAGCCTGGAATCAAAAAGACAAAGGATTTTTTTTAAGCTTGTTTACTACCACCTATGCGAGCCTTATATGTAAATGTTGACTCAGGACCTATGCTTAAATGTGCGAGATTCTGTGATTTTTTTTTTCCCCAAATCCCTATTTTGAACACTTTCATTTGTCAAGTTGTTTTTTTTTTTCAATTAATTATTAAATTTGATCTTTTATTTTTGGTTTTCAATAAAAAAAATATTGTATATGATATTCAGAAAGCTAGTGTTTTCATATCAAAACCTGAAACAGAGATGTAGCATATGGTGTGTCATACAAAAGACCATCAAAGGGATAAAAATGATTATCAGATAGTAAATGCAGTGACAGTTATAGGTTTTTTTTCCAATATCTAACATGGAATAATAAAAGTATTAGAGCAGCTAATTGAACATTTAAAATTTGCTAAAATCTGCCATGGAAATTAAACCAAAAAAGCCACAGGAAGGTAAAGCAATGTCTCTAAACTGACATAATATGTAGGCTACATTGATGATACACTTCTTGTGCAAAGTAGCTATATTGTGTCTTTGGTTTGATGCTTCAGTTTTTACATCCGTGTACCTCTAGTCACCCTCAGTGGCTGGCTGACAAGGGATTGAAATCACAATCTACCTGAATTAATGTAATTTATTTTCTATATTTCATCATGAAGAATCTTTTTCTTTTTTTCCTGGCATTATTGGGGAGGAATTCCTTTGGAGTTTTCTTTAGTTTTTTTCTTCTTTGTTATTTATTTATTCATTTTACTCTATTTTTTTTTTCTCTCTCATTGGTAATTCTGTGATCACTTTAATCTAATGTCTTCACTAATACTCACCTTTAAATACTATATCAGTTTTGTACTCCTTTTTTTATTGAAAAATTAAGAAAACCAATAAAAGAGATTTTGAATCAAAGCAATTTTCATGGGGATATGCAACATAAATATAACAACAACAACCCATCTACATCAAACCTTTTAAACGATGTTTACAACAAGAAAGTGTGTTTTGAATCAATAAAAACGTATGTTTCTCTACATTTCTTTAAAATATATGTTCTCTATTTCATTAGTAGCCTACCGGTAATTTCAACCCTGGTTTCTATCGAAAGTGCGCATACGAACTGCGCGCCACATTTGTGTCGAATCTAACGTTGCGGAAGTAAAATTACGTCCATTTACGTCAGTCTTTGTAAAGCTATCATGGCAGCAGCTACCAAGGGCTCCAAGGAACAAAAATACGATAGACAGCTTCGGTGAGTTTTAAAAGATTCTTGCTAATTTACTAAGAAACTGGATTTGTTTTGTCAGTCAATATATTTAATATTTATTATCTTACTAGAGCAGGTCGATAGAGAATTTGAAGTTCCGTGTTAGCATTAGCTTGTTTAATTTACCTCAGCATCGTTGATTTTGAGATTTATCTAAATATGTTTTGGTCATGATTTCGGTCTTAATGAAGTAAAACAGCCTTTCTGCCACCAACTGTCTCCTATTTTTAATCTGCATGTACTGATTCAATGGTAGAAAATACGTATGATTACAAGACGAGGTGTTATCACTGTTGTTTTTGCAAGGTGCAGCGACTGGACGTGATTGTTTTTAGTAAAATATGCCATTTTCTTGTGTTTTTCACCCTCAGTCTGTGGGGTGACCATGGACAAGAGACTCTGGAGAATGCACATGTATGTCTCATTAATGCCACGGCCACTGGAACAGAGATTCTGAAGAATCTGGTTCTTCCAGGTAACTAGGTAATTCACTGATGAGAGATGCTGCTGAAGGATGATCAGTTTTCTAATTGGCTGAACTTCTATGTTTAACAGGGATTGGAGCATTCACCATAGTAGATGGACACACAGTTGCTGGGGAGGATGTAGGAAATAAGTACGAGTTTGTTTGTTATATATGATCTATGTTTGAAATTAGTAATGTCAGATTTGTTTCAAAAACTAACCTGTTTGTCTTGCAGCTTTTTCCTCAGCAGCGACAGCATTGGAAAGGTTGGCATACCTAAAACTGTTCTTGTCACTTATTTAATTTTATTCCTTGTCCTCATAACTCTCCATTCATGCATTAATATTCATAAGTTCATCATCTTATGAATAATGGAAACAAATATTTTAAGTTGAGACTTACTTTTCTGTTGCAGAATAGAGCACAGGCTGCCACAGAGCTTCTACAAGAATTGAACAGCGACGTGTCTGGAAACTTTGTCGAGGAGGTTTGACTTTTATGTTGAACATTTTCATAAATTCAACAGAGAAAAATTTTAATGCTCAACTTCATTTATAATGATTGCTCCACTGCAGAGATGTGCTACAGTAGAGGAGGTTTCTATATGTTGAAAGATCAGGATTTTAAAAAAAATAAAAAATGATGCTATGCATACCATAAAACACTTTAATCTGGGACATCAATCTGTTGGTGCCTGACCTCTCGGTTCTATTTTTAATCCCTGCAGAGTCCTGACAAGCTTCTGGACAATGATCCAGAGTTTTTCCACAGATTTACAATAGTCATTGGTGTCCAGTTACCGGAAAGGTACAATATATTATTCATATTAGTAGTTTTGCAGAAAAGGTTGAGGGACTTTGTTTTCTTCCTGTCTTTTAGCTCAAATTTGTTTTTGTCTCCCTCTTGCCCATCAACAGCACGTGTTTGAGGCTCGGCTCTGTTCTGTGGACTGCCTCAGTACCTTTTCTAGTTTGTAAAACGTATGGCCTGTTAGGCTACATGAGGCTAGTGGTGCAGGAACACACAGGTGACTAACCTTCTATGCTGCCTCTTTATCTAAGAACTGTCTATTATTTCACATTAACAGTTGTCAAAAGAAAATCTTTTGGTTACTGATACATTAAACTCTCTATATAATTATATGTGTACATAAAATATGTTTAGTTTTTTTCCTCTTTTTAAGTGTTGCCTCTGTTTTTAGTCATTGAATCTCATCCAGACAATGCATTGGAGGATCTCCGATTAGATCAACCTTTTGATGAGTTTAAGAACCACATTAACTCTTATGACCTCACAAGCATGGAAAAGAAGGTGTGTATATCACAAAATACATTTTTTAATAATTCTTTATTTTAGCTAACTAATTAGTACCCATCTTCTCTTAGGATCACAGTCACACTCCATGGATTATCATTGTTGCTAAATACCTGGAAAGGTGGCTCAGTGAGGTAGTCAACTTCTTTTTCTGATATCATTCCCCTGGATTAGCTGTCTTTTTGGTGGGTAATCTTATAAATTGTGCTGTTTTTGTTGATATTGCAGCATGATGGTCAGCCACCCAAAAATTACAAGGAGAAGGAGACCTTCAGACAAATGATTCGGGAAGGTATCTGTGGACCTCTGGATTGTTGCAGCTTATGTATCCCCTGACTGAGATTTAAACATGGTTAGTTTCCATTTTAGGGATGATAAAGAATGACGACGGTGTTCCAGAGGATGAAGAAAACTTTGACGAAGCTATTAAGAATGTCAACACTGCATTAAATCAAACCAAGGTGTCCGATCCCAAAGTCTTCTTTCTATATTTTGAGCTGTGATTATTTTGGGGTTCAAATCTATAAGCTGGTCTTCTTTTTATTGATTTGTTTTTACAGATTCCAAGTGCTGTTGAAGACCTCTTCAATAGTGAACAGTGTAGCAACATCACAGTACAGGTTTTGTTTTTAGTTCTAAAGCATATATTTATTTTTTTATTTATTTTTTATTTTTAGATTGGAAATGTCATGAGTGTAATTTTTTTTTTCCTGTTTTATATTTTTCAGAGTTCATCTTTCTGGATGATGCTGCGAGCTGTGAAAGAGTTTGTATACAATGAAGGCAATGGAAGCCTTCCTGTGCGAGGAACAATCCCAGACATGATAGCTGACTCTCAGAAGTTTATCAATCTCCAAAATGTGTATGTGACGAAATATTTGGGCTCTGCATATCTACAACTCAATAACGCTTTGTCTTTTCTTTTTTTTTTCTTTTTTTTTTGGCTTAACTGTTGCCTGTTTTGTTTTTGTTTTATTTACTTCAGTTACCGGGAAAAGTCCCTGCAGGATGCAGCAGCTGTTTCCAAGCATGTTGAACGGCTTCTACAGTCTGTTGGAAAGGTATTCAGTCAGTAACCTGCTCATTCAGGACTGAGCAGGATAATTATTTTTAACTTAAAGGATTAAAACAAGTGTGCGAGCTTTAGTGTGTCTTTAAAAGAGGCTGAAATGTCATGTATGAACATGTTTCCTGCAGGTTCTAAACCATATCAACAAAATGTATTTCTGTATCAAATGGCTACATTTACTAATCCAATATCTTCTTCAAAACATTTAAGGGAATATTATCTTTATATTTAATTTTTCTTCTTTTAAACAGCCGGTAGAGAGCATTTCTGAGAAGGACATCAAGCTGTTTTGTAAGTACCCTGTTCTCTATTTAACTTATTTGCTTTAATGCTGCTTTAATTTGATTGTAATGCTCATCTTACATATTTGTCATTGGTAAAACTAGCATACGTAGTTTATGTGCTCTGACCTAAAGATTGGTCGATATGTGCATGTAGTTGCCGATTTATTTTTGCATTCAGTTAGTATTATATTGGATCATGTAAAGCAAAAGCCATCAACTGGTTATACATTGCTAATAATTGGTTTGATTTCTTAGCATTCTTTTATTCTTATATTTTGGTTTAACTCTTGTAACCATTGTGTAACTTTCACCATATAAACGGAGGTAGCAGAAGCAAATATCTGGAATTGGTTACAGATTTCAAAATAATCAGCATCAGCCTTAACAAGAACTGTATCAGTTGATCTCATCTCTGACCATACATTGATAATCTGTATATGTAACTGGAGGCTTTTGTATTGGTGCGTAGGTAAAAATGCTGCCTTCTTGCGTGTCGTTCGTTGTCGTTCTTTGGCTGAAGAATATCATGTGGATTCAATAAATAAAGATGAAATAAGTAAGTCTGGGACAAATTTATGATTTTATGCAAGGCATCTTTATTTTCTTTGTTTTTTTGTTTTTTTGTTTTTTATTTACTGGTGTCATGAAAGTCCAGCACAGTTCAATTATTATTGTAATGTCGCAGCGTCTTGCATGGAGAGTCCAGACAGTGAGATGGTCTTCTACCTCATGATCCGTGCTGTGGATCGCTTCTATCAGCTGCACTCACGCTACCCAGGTACCACCATTTTTTACTTCCTCTCTTCTTTTTTTATGATTAGACCTACCTTTTCTTAAGTATGTTGACTGTGTTATTTATTAGATTATATAGAAAGAAAATAATTATTTTTAATCACAGGACAGATCGTCTATTTCAGTTTGTTGCCCATTATTTGCCTTTTTTCTTTTTTTTTTTATCTGAAAGGAGTGTATAACTACCAGGTGGAGGAGGACATCAGCAAGCTAAAGCTGTGTGTGAACAGCCTGCTGCAAGAGTATAGCCTCAATGTCAACATCAAAGATGACTACATCCATGAGTTGTAAGTGCTAATCACTGCTTCTCTGGCCGCTCAAAGTGACTAACAGAGCTGACAATAACCAGTAATCATTTTATTCCTGCAGTTGTCGTTACGGTGCAGCAGAGCCACACACAGTGTCTGCATTCTTAGGAGGTAAACTCATCATTGAAGCCCTCACACATCATCCCCCTAAAATAAAAGCATTGAAAATTCCCCTAACTTTTTATGTCAACATGTTTGTAGGATCTGCTGCTCAAGAGGCAATCAAGATCATCAGCCACCAGTTTGTGCCCTTCAACAACACTTTCATTTATAATGCCATGTCACAGACCTCTGCAACGTTTCAGCTGTGAACGCAGCCTGTACCAGCCCTGAGCGGCAACCAATCTAAAGGATTAGCTTATAGGAAAAATTGTATTTCAGTCCTTCTTACAGAGAAGAACATCAGAAAGACGGCAGCCGATAAGGATTTCCCTAAGACCCCCAGATCTCCATTTTTCTGTTGTAAAGAGATCCCTAAACAACCCTCAAAGTGACACTTTAGCTTTTTCACCTTTAATACTTTGTAGTTATTACAGCACTGTGTATGCCTCTGATTCAGCTGTTTGTCATTGTGTTTTGATCTGCAACTGTAAAAACATATTTGGCTGTAAAGGTTTCCAACATTTACTTTCCTGTGTTTGTCCTCAATCCATCGTCAGCCTCAACTTATCTGGATCTTTAATGCAAGAAAAGTGATGTAAAAACTGTAAAAGTAACCCTAACCCATTATATTTATGAAGGGTTTTAAAATGATTTATCATCATAGAGTTGAGCGCTACTGAATCAATTTGTTGGTGAGCTCTACATGATTTAGATTGTTTTTCATGCTTACTTAAAGGAATGAAAACAAGAACACCAGAAAATGTGTAGCTGAATAAAATGTATAGATGACAAGAGAAAGTAAAACTTTAATCTAAAATCCCATCGAGTTTCCTTTAAACAAAAAAATGTAAGTATAACTAAGAGCTGCAACAGAAAAAAAAACATCCTAAAAAAAAAGTGTATCGACAGTTTAGGAGGTATTTAAATACAATCTATTAGAGGTCATGAGATGGGAGTTGTTCTTTCTATTGACACTAGAGGGTGCTCTTTTACTACTTTGGGTTTTAAGGACGCATTTCGAATTTAAACATTTATGACCTGAAACCATCACACTCTGATATAATCAAGAAAAAAAAAAAGAAAACTTCTCCAAGCAATCACCTAACTAAAATTTTGTTGGGTTTTTTGTTTTGTTTTGAGATATACACACATATATATCAAATTGAGATGAAGAGGATGGTTGTCTCCCATTGAGATAAATAATTTATTTAAATGTTCAGTAATGTGTAGCTTTAGAGCATAAAAACCAAAAAAAATTCAAATATAAATATGGCCTCTGATGACCTCATGTTCCCCTCAAATGCCTGTTGGAGACTTTTTAATACCCACAGCCGCTGTACTGTCTGACTGCAGGGGATCAAGCTGGAGGCCAGAATGTACTCTGGCAATTTCCTAAATCTAAGATTTGTCCTCTACCCCCCTATAAGATAATCATGTCGTTATCCATCTATCTGCTTTCTCTGGGGATTACCAAGGAGCAGTGCCAGGATCATCGGCCCAAAACTGAATCTCAAACTTTGGATGCTTTTAAATTTTTCATCTAAAATATGGAATAGTAACAAATAAATATTTGTTCTGGTTTAAGAGATTCAGACATATTTAAAGAACAGGAAAGGACCTGGTGAATATTTAAATTTTCCTTTTTTGCTGTTGTTGAAAGGGCTAAGATCTATAATAACAGTATAAAGTTTAATTCCTCTGTGCAGACCTTCCAGCTTCATTTAGCAGTGGCCTTTGTTTTTTGCTTGTTTGCGTGCTTTCTTGTGACCCAACACCCACACAGATGGTTGTTGATAAGAGATAACACAGAAAGAAACAGCCCAAAGGAGACTTTTTTTTTTTTTTTCTCCAAATGCAATATATCTACTGTTCTTCTTTTTGGTCATAATTTAGAGGTGTTCATTGAAAACATGACCAGTCATTATATAAAAGAAAATTATGTCTTCCCATCATATGAGAGAAATTAGTACAAACTTTTGATTCTATTTTTTTGTGCCTTACCATTATGAAAAAGTGACCAACCATTTAGAAATAAATAAGGAATAAAATTCTAAAGTAATTTTCTCTATATCTATCCCTGAACTTTATAAAGGTCACTTAAAAAGATACAAAATAAAACAATTGACCCTTCCACTATTTCCACTATTATGATTTAACACACTTAGCTCATCAACCCTAATCAATCCACTAAAAGTACACATTACAGTTACAGAGATGTGGGACTGATATCTGATCATTATTTTCTATATATCTTAATATTTGCACTATATTTACATTTTTAAAAATACTTTAATTTGATTAAACAAAGTTTGTTTTACTGTATCCTGCAAACATGTTTTAATCTTTATGGCATGAAGATTGGCTGTGTAATAAGCTGTTTTCTAAACACTAAGCATTTATTTATTATTTTTCAGTGAGCAGGTTAATAGTTTCGTAGCATTTGCCTGAGCTTTTACATAGCTGATCCCCTCCCCCCACATATACTGAGTATGCTATGTATCTTTGTGATGGCTGCAGAAGGGGTCTGCACCTGTATAACTGAAAATCTTAAAGGATAATATGGCTCCAACAAATATGGTGACTGATGCTGTTTTTGGAGAAGTAAAGTAAACACAAGCAGAGTCCTACGTTAGGATGTTAGCAGTAGATCCTTTGGGCCCTGTGGATTGGGCCTCCTTCCCACAAAGGTCCTGAGATCCACTATATATTTAGAGAACTGGTTTTCTTCTTGCCCTTTTCCCAAGCTGCTTTTCTTGTTTCTGCTACTAAAGTGGATCTGAAACTATAAGAATAATTGATATTTTTACTTTCAAAGCATAATCATGGTATTCTATTTTATAATGGAGAGCTTCAGCCATTGGCTACATTTGGATCACTTCTGTTTTTTGTAGTTTTTTTTTTTTTTTAGGGGGAGGCTGTAGACCCGATTTTGATTCACATCATTTATGTGCGTCTCTGTCTCACAATGATGTCTAGAAAGGCTAAGGCTGTCTGGATTAAGCACAGCAGTCCCGAGTTCCTTTCCTACCCAGGATAGTGTTTCTACTGTACTGTTGACCTTCAGAAAAGGCGAATAAAAGAGGAACAAGGAGCTACAATTTCCTCAATTTGGAATCAGAGATTTGTAAAAGACCAGAATGAAAAAAGGTTGAACTTACATTTCCCCTCAAAAATACTGCCATATTGGATTAGTAATTGTTTAGTATAAAGTACAAATCAGAAATGTTTAGTGGAGCCACATTTGGAAATGAGTTTCCAGCAGATGAGCGGTTTACCTCTCTAGATTGTTTTATTTTTTACTACTGTATTGTAATGGCATGCAACACCACAAAGTGTACTACCTTTCTGAGGGCAACTTTTAAAATAGTTTATTGTCTTAAAATCACTCAAAATTATGTTCCAGTTGATTCTTATCTGTTTCGAAAAGAAAAAAAGCAAATACTCTTATTTTGGTACATTTCCCTTTTCCATTATGTTTAGATTTTTCCATTAAAGTGAAGAATTTCAATGTGTTTTCAAAAGCAATCATGTTTACTGTAATTACAATACTAGCCCACATAAAGGTGACAAATATTTTTTTCATAATCAAGCAGTCCATCTTAAAACAATACAAAGATGTGAAGAAGTTAAAAATTGTACATTTATAAAAACCTTAATGTTAGCTCTTATAGGGCATGTGATGCTTTATCTTTGACTGCAGCAATTGCCCAAGAATAGATGTGTTCATGGGCAGCTGGTAGGAGAAGAAGGCTATTTATGGTAAAATCAATCAGTAAATCAAATGTAATGCCCCCGCACAAGAACCACAATTTCAATGTGACTCTTGCTGGAAGCTCCTAGCAATAAAAAGAGAGAAACTGGGGGAGGTGCCTGGATGAGTTGGCATAGGTAAATGGAAGAAAGTGTGCAGCAGAAGTGGCAGATTGATGGCCATTTTCTCCAAGGACGATGTTATATGTCTTCTTGTCCCACCCTGTCTCTGCAAAGAGGATTGTATTTTACATTACAGAGTAAGAGGCCAGAATGACTGAAGGGGAGAGAAAGCGAGAGATTTCCTCAGAACTATTTACTTGGCCAGGATCCAAAGAGGCCCTGTTTGAATTAAAACCAGGCTGGATTAAAACAGAATAAAGCAGAGTATTCCTTATGTTTTTACAGGGAGACAGCAGGAGGCCGGCATACTTTAAACCACTCAGGGTCTTCTGAGGGCCGCTGCATTCCTGCCCCTCGCATATGGAACAATTACTGTAGTATAGAGTCGAACACCTGTGTTTCTAAAAGGTATCCCACATATACATCAAAAGAAAGAAAGCTGCTTTGGATTCCATACGTTAAATACTGGTTAAAATGCTGCTATGCAGTGTATAAAATTCACAACATTACAGGTTTGCTAAGGTTTATTTCACTTTTACCAACATATTAATTATCCTGCTCAAGAACTGAGACTGTGGTTAGTGCACATTGAATAGGATTAATAATCAGTAGGGCTGCCACCATTTAATGTGATCGACTACTTAACAATAACACAAACATTTTTAATTTATGAATTTAATTACAGATTGAAACATCTAAGTTGTTTTAATGACTGAACATCAGATGCGTGGGTGCAATTGTCTATAGCACAAAGTTATATCAGTGAGCTACAAGCACCTTCTCTTTCTCATGTATTTTATTTGGTGATGGGAAGCCAGGGAAGCTTTTTACCATTAATAATTGTCCTTTGTCATTGGACATTGCTCAGTAGCTGGAGTAAAAGTACATTAACCGCTGCTGTTGAGCGTAAACTTCAAAAACTTACCTGATGATTATTACAACAGAAGCCCAGTTTTTACAATAAAAAGCCACAGATGGAGTCACACTGTCATAATTGGTTTAAGCAATCTGACCCACATGCAGAGAACCACTCAGAGACCAAGGGAAAAAGTTTAACAGGTTTATTGAATGTTGATGAAACACAGAAGTAGGTGCTGGAACTCAGTGGACTGGTGAACTGGAACCGGAAAGTCTGAAGGAGAAGTCACAGTGATCTGTTCATGGACCATAGGAAAATTGACTGAGGCTTAAATATAGCTAGGGAGAAACTAAGGAAACTGAGGACTTGAACGGATCATGTGGAGGTTTACCCCTGCTCAGTGTGTACTCAGTAATCCTTCCAGGGGGAGATGGTCCAGGTTATCCACTGACACAGGAAAGGCTTCCTGCCGAAGAGCAAAGACCAAAACAAGATTTGACTCAGAGAAACTCTGCTTCGGTTAGACACCGCTAATCTCAGCTTGGCTCGAGTACCCAAAACTGGCAAACACTCTGGCGTCGAGGTAGTGACAGCCTGCTGCTCAAATACTCCTCCGGTAATGATCCAACGAGCCGCAGGTGTGCAGGGAGGCCCAGCGAGCAACAGGGCACCACCTGGTGGTGGAGAGAGAAAAAAACAAAAACAAACCACCGAACTGGATTCCAAACACACACATCCTGATGAGGTGAGTGTGAACTAAAATTGTCAAACATATGTTCATGTTGCTGTGAAAGCATGCATTGGATCCAAAAGGTTTTGTTGCTTTTACTTCATTGCTTATTTTTAGACTGAAGTGTGGGTATTAGAAGAAAAATCCTCCACATGTAGAGGACTTCATATTTGTACTAAAACACAGCAACTTTAAGGAGTGATGCAGACAGAGATTGAACATCTCTTGAGAATACAGAAGAAATAAATGACCAAAATATCAATAAAAACATGTGTTTTGGTCTCATTATTGTTGCAGGATTTAGAAAAAAAATCTAGTGTAGGAAAGGTTGTTATCTTTCTAGATCTTGAAATGAATGTCAACAACAAATGGTAACTGCATAAAAACAAAACATTCCAGTTTCCACCACATTAGTTGTACAAACTGTGTTTAAATAATTAACCAACAATAAAGTTGGTTTTGATCAAGTCAAATTCCATTTCAGTATTTGGAAAAACATGTCAAGTAAAATTACATTCCTGAAAAGTGTTAACTGTTGTATTTCAATGCACCTGTTCTATTTAAAGGACCCAAACAACCGTAGTAGTTGCAATGGATTGGTCATTTGTACTTGTTACATTATGTAGACAACTAAGAACTAAGGTGATGACAAATATTGTTATA